TCGGACAATTAACGCATAATGCGGAGGAGCACCGTCCTGTTGAAAAAACAAATGATCTTCATCATACTCTGGAAAATTTTCAATAATATCAGTCAAGGCAGGGTCAATAGCGTCTTCCAGTAATTGCAAATACATTTGGCCAGTCAAATTACCAGGTAGAAAAAAAGGACCCTCCAGCCGGTCACCGAAAATTCCAGCCCATACATTTAATTTTTCCTGTTGCAGTGTATGCACCTCGTGAAAAACTCTTGGGTTTGAATCGGACCAATAGCGGCAATTGTGACGATTTGCCGTCCCGTTCAGAAAAAACTGCATCCATCAGAAAAACAGATGTTAAAAAGGTACTGTGGATCGTTCCCTGCTCGCTCACTCATTATTTCGCAAAATTGCAAACGGCGGTCATAATCATCCTCATGAAGTTCCTGGACTAAATGTATTTTGTATGGATAGAATTTATTCTTCTTCAAAATGGTTTGTATGCTAATTCGATTGATCCCAGACACAGATGCCAGCTGCCTCGTACTTAATATATTATCAAGATGAACTTGTCCCAAAACTGCAACTTCACTAGCTCCATTAACTATAGGTTTTTCAATTTCTCGTTCTTTATTGGCTATGTTCCCTACTGTCTCTTGAAATTTTTTACTAACTCTAGAACATACTTCCTCCTGACATGTCAATCTTGATGTTGTTCATTAAATAGCTGAGCCGTTCTATTCGCACATTATTCATAAAGTAAAGCGAAATGATATCTACCCTTTCCGCAATGGAATAAACCATAGTGTTTTTAATTTTCCAAAACACAATTAAATAAACTACCAACCAACGCTTCCAAATAATACAAGAAAATAGTGTGGAATCCACTAATTTTTACGTTCATTGTGTGTATATAGCATTAATTTCTGTTTTTACAATAGTGTTTTTTTTACGAAAGTGATAACAAATCGCCAAAAACCAATATAACGCAAGAAATGCTATATTTATACCATTGGCAAACTTAACTCGAATGACACATTTTTACCGTTACTAATTGTTTGTACATAAGTTTCAACTTTAAAATAAAAATTCTTAATAAGTATTGGGCGGAATTATAAAATTTAAAGTCTGTTGTAAAGAGAATTGTAAGAGCTTTCAAAAGAAATATTACTCAACCCCCAATGCCATTTAAATATTTTGGGGTGATGCTTACCCTTGCTTGGGGGTGAAAGTGGCGGAGTCAAAAATACCAGCAAAGAATGTCCCCCGTTAATCTAAAATCGACGGGTCTGAGCGTTTTTCTACAATCTTGACGCAGTTCCTGAAAATGGCTCTGTTTCATTTTCATTTGGCCACCCTGTATGTTCTTATCCTTTTATTAGTATAAGTTTAGGATAGGATTATGTTATTATTTATAGCCCTAAAGAAGATTTTAAGTAAAATCGAAACGTAGGCATAATCAGAAAATCAAGACCCATTCTGACAATATTCTTATTACACAATTTGAAGGGCATGCATATTTTTGACCTTCCAAAATGTTTATTACATTCATAAATAGCAAAAAGTTCTAGATCAAAAGTAACATTATTATTTGTGATTTGAAAATTGTTGTAATAATACTTGAATTTCAATATTTACAGAGAACTTTACATTGAGAATAGGATGTGTAAGACAGGCTTTTGGTAAACAGAAACTATTCTGACAATCAACAAGCATCTACTTTTTTTATAATTTATTCCTTGAAGTAGATAAAAAAATCTGACGGTACTTTCAATCCACGCATCTTTACCAATAACTTTAACGCGGGTGTATTAAGATAACGGGCTCTCGGTATTATTTAGTGCTCGAAAGAGGGTAATTTGTACTAAGCGGCATCACGCCAGGTCTATAAAATATATATTAAAACATCCATCACATCTCGTAGAACTTTGTAACAATGATTAACTTAAAACAGCAAGGAACACGCTTTTTATTAGTAATTTTGTAAAGTTGCTTAAAAGTAATAGGAGGTTATTAAGATGCCTGGAGCTGTGCTAAATCGAGCCTTGTCCAGATTACACTTTCAATATTCATGTAAGCTAAACACTGAGCTCGCCCTAAGTAGATGTGAGAAGGAACTTATAGTAATTGGACTATAAATGGTTATATGCACCCGGGAGGCATACTCGAACGCCGCAGAAACGTACTTACCTTTTTATCTACACAGGCCAAAATTACACAAAACTTTGCAATAGAAAAGGAACAAGAACAAAATGCAGCAAAAAAGCAACGGATATAAGTTGCACAGGCAACACAGAAATGGTTGGAAAGTGTCTTAAAAAATGTTTAGAACTGATAATTTAATACAACTTCAAAGTCAGTAAACATGTATACAGTGTGCTTTTTATGTCCCTGTCATAACTTCAGTAGGTTGTAATTTGGATAATTGTAAAAAATTACACATATTACTATAACATGTTTGACAGATTAACGAAACTTGGGATCCTTTTCACTTTATTCAATCATTTTCGAGTTATTACTTTTTTTAATTCAAAATAAACTTACCACGCATGACTGAATTAAAACATTTTCTGTAACAATTTCAACATCCTGTACCTTGAGAGCCAGTAACTTCAGACCCTTAAAGTGTTTGGTATAAAATGCTCCAACGAACAATCTTCTGAAGTTATGACTTTAATTTAAAAACACCCTGTATATCATATAAAACTTAATAGTGTAGTGTAGTGTGGAGATATATTATTTGGTTTAAAGAACTCCGCATAACATATATGGAAAAAAATCCCGGTCGAAATGGCTGAAATTTTGCAGTTATAGTTTTTAGCATTCTGATCAAATGTCTCAATGGGACCAAAGACCGGTTATGCCTAGTTTCCGAGAAATTGGGCCTCAAAGTGGGCCTTTTGGGAGAAATGACTCGATAAGTCTGAATAATTATTTGCAGACCAACATTTCATGTAAATAGTATTACCAGACTTGATGAGGTATACTAGGGTTTTTGGGGTCGCTGAATCCGAATATGGGTCTCGCATGACTATGCAAGGTCACCTAGAGGTTATTTCAAGGTCAAACCAAGAATAAATGATCAGAAAATCGTTAAAGAAACATGTACAAGTTTTTGTGATCGTTGAATCCAAATTTGGGTTTCGTTTGGCTCTTAGAAATTCTTGCAATTCCGTTTTTAATAAAGACGGTTGTAAATGATTATTGTTATTAATTTAAAGCAAATTATTATTATATATCAAATATTAATGTTAATAAACTTTATACTTTCATTTGTCTGCTTCATTTATCCAAGACACATTTACTATTCTACCCTTGCAGGAAAGAAGGGTACAAAATAGGGTCAAAATGCGGGCGATAATATTTAGGTCCACTTATTTCGCCCTAGAGTGATATGACGTTGTTTTCCTATTCCGTTTCTTAGTAATAAAAAACAAGCTATGTCGCCTAAGAGAAAAATGAAATACTTTTAATCTAAAAATCTGTTGAACACTGCGTGTAGGCTATTACTTCGAAACAGAGCTATCGATTGGGAGATTTTAAAATCTTTTCAAAGAAATGTGCCTTTATCCGAATCTGCATACATACGTATGTTAAACAAAATTGATAGTTGTTTTTCACACACTTTCCTCCGGTGCTATTCATGTCTTCTACATAACAAATACCTTCCGATTCGAGTTCTTTCTGACCTTGTGACGTCTCTGGATCGTTCGAGCTTCCTCCGTTTCAATTGTAGACCGATGATAGTTAACTTCTTTAGCATGGACAAAAAAGGGACCATTTATCACAGCTACAAATGGCTGTTACTTTGGCGCTTTTCTTTAAAACTTTTAGGATTACCATTATTACACCTCTCTGATGTATAGTGCAAGGTAATTATGCTTCTACCTTCTCGGCAATTTACTATAAACGAAGGAGTGACAGTTATGTATTATTTCATGACACATCAAAGGAAAAAAATTTCGAAAGGTTAGTAAAAAAAAATTCCTTTCTATAAATACGTATCATTTTAAAATTTTCGAAAGTTTAGTAAAAAAATGTACTTTCTATAAATATATATCATTAGGCGAAAACGCTGTTGAACGTTTATTTAAAATTGCGGTGAAGGCAGCTAATATATTTGAATACCGCTACACAATTATATATGCCGATGTGACGAAACACTTGACTGTCGTAGCTCCGACTTGAGTATCTCATTAAACAACATTGCGAGGGATTGAGGGTTTGTAGTGTGTTTTCATCAATAGTTAAGACTGCTGAAGTATTTATTCAAGTCGTTCCAGATTGATAACTTTTGAATTTAGATGCAGGCATTTTCCACAAAGAGATTTTTATTGGTTTGTCGAGATAAATTTCCTTTTCAATTCAATCCCACTCAAATTAAGTCTACAAAAATATCTGGATACTCAAAAAGAAGTGTCTGAAATTTCCAAGCAAAAATAACTTCCTCTTCCGTTCTACAAAAAAAGAATGCTAATAAGTTTTAAAATTATATAAATATTCTTCAGGAGTAAAAGTTGCCATTGTCACACTTTTGCATCGCAAGTTTGAAGCAGTGATTCGAGTCCATTGACTTCAAAAATTACTAAGCAAATGGTTGTTTTAAGAACATATTTGACGTTTTCCTAATAAATCACCCTGTATATAAATTCAAGCACATTTATACAATTCTTTGAATTACATTCAAAAACGCTACACTCTTTTAGAATACATATCTTTTCCTTGTCAACTGCCATAGTGTTAAAAAAAAATTTTCAGTATTCAAAGTTTTAAAAGCGAAGGATTTAACACTACTTAAATTAGTATTAAACACCTGCGTATCAATGTTTTAGACCATACCGCAATCTGTGATTAACAGTAATCATCTCTCGTGGGTATTATCTAAGTAGAAACATTCAAAGAATTTCTCAAGAATGCTGTGCCTCCTCATCGCTAGATAGCTCTGGTATACGAATCAATAATGATTACGTAACAAAATAATTCAACAATTACGTACACTCGGTGCAAGAAGCACTTAAATAAAATCGAATTAAAATATATTTATTTTTCTGGTGGTAAAAACCAAGTAATATAATATATAATAGCGTTTCTAAAATACTGGCGTAATTGGCCCTTTTTACATAAATGAAAATGGATTAAAAACATTTTGCAGATCATAGCAGCTTACGAGTGTATTTTGATTGGTGGCTTATATTATCAATATAATATCTGTCCAACCATTTCCTGATTTCATGTACATGAAACTGCCTTGCCATTCTCACAGATTCCGTATCTAGATCGTTAGAGGCTCTTAAATCAAAATGATGAGCTCCATCCGGTATAACTACAGCCACAAGTTTTCTAGTAACGTTGCTAAGAACTCCTCCACTCGACCAGGGGTCTAATAGACCATTACTGAATACGATATTGGATGCGGATCCTAACTCCTTTCCTCCATATTCTAGAATTGGAACTTCTTCGTCTCTTGGTCGTACACCGAATTCCTTGAAACAATTGTCAGACACTTTCTTGAAGTCCCATTTACTGGTTTCGAACATATCGAAATCACCGGAGCACATTGGTATTACCATCTCCGTACAAGACTGAAATTTTTTTTTATTTCAAGTGAAAAGCAGCTTATGTTTATTATATTACTTACTTGAAAATCCCAACCTTTCTCCCCCAAATTATCAGAAGTTTTCTCTATATCATTACATTTGGTGGTTTTGGTATAATTTGTATACACATTCAAAGCTTGCCCAATAGCTTTAAGAAGTCCCGTGTTATTTTTATATTCGTAACTATTAATTTTGCCGCAAAATTCTCTAACTGGATTTCCCGGCAAGGGCACCAAAAAGCTTGTCGGATAAGGATAGTTAACCATGGCCAAATTGATGTAGATATTTGTCAGCCAGTCAATAATTGTATTGATATCAGTATCCGTTTTGAGAACTGAGCATAGGTTCCATAATTGAGAGAGATTTGCTTTGCCAGCGTCGTTTGCTGTTAGGGCACTGAAAAAATCATACATAGGCCACCGTCACAAATCCATGCGACTTCACGTGACGAATTCTACTTACCGAATTACCGACCAAGAGTTTTTGATGGTCTCGCTACATTTTCTTCCTCCAAGTCCCTCAAAAACGTTAGTAACTATCCTATAAAAATTTTCACAAGGCGTCAGGCCCTTAAATTGCCAAATTGGCGCTGAACCTGCTATTGCACCCACGACCGATGCTGGATATTTTATTCTCAGCCAAGCAGATAACATTCCTCCATAAGACCCTCCAAATGCAATCACAGGCAGCTTCTTCATATGCCTTTGTCTTCCGTAGGTTTCTTGCAAATAGTTTATGAGGTAGACATAGTCAGCTAATGCCTGACCTGATGATAAGTACCCCAAGTATTTGGGCGCCGTATAGGAGAGATTTCCGAAGGGCAAAGATACCCCATAGTATCTAAAATGTATTGTGGGTGTCTATGTATTTTTATAGTATTACTTTGTATATTACTGCATAATGGAAGGGAGGTTAAGTTTTGTCGAAAAATGCGTCAGGGTGATGAAGTTGAAAAAATTTGTATGAATGCATTAAAGATTTTATTTCAACACCCTGTAAGTAATATTACCAATTAGTTACTAAACACCCTGTAGATATTATTTGCGTATATCTGTTAATATTTATAAATTTAATATCTGTTTGTGATTAGATAATCCCCCAAATAATATTTACGCTCCCTTTATTATTTTACAGATTTTTATTGTTTGCATTGAAAAATGAGGATTAAATTTAAAAAATTCAAATTACAATTTTTTATTAAAACGCAATATAAGAATAAGCAATTAAAAAATATATGTGTTTTATTGTAAATTAAGTGTAATTTGATTACCTGTGTTCTGCGAATACAAGAAGAGCATTAAATTGTGGTGCAATGTCGAACATAAAACCTGTATTCTGCGCAAACACTTCGATGTCCCCCTCATTTCCTGTATAAAAGAATATCGGTCCATTGTCCACATGAAATGTGTCATTCACCAGAAACTTTAATTTGAACGTTAAATTAGTGGCGAAACTGAAACAAAGTATGTTTAAAATTATTTAAATAATATCTACATTTACCTTACCTAAAATGATCTAGTGGAACATCGATATATTTTGTATCAAACGAGTATGTATCCGCTAGAACAAAACAAATTAACAGAACACTTAAGGCAATAATGCTCTTCATTTTGTTGCTGTCTGACTGAAGCCAATTATCTTGTATACTAACTATCAAATCAACTCTGACCTCGAATATTTTATAGTAGATACGGTCAAATATCAGTAGGTAGCATTGTTAATGTGCTAAATAAATATATAGATAAATCTTTTTGTCTGAATTATTCTTGTTACTACTGACTGATGACTACTGTGCAGTATAACGGTTTTGATTAGTCAGCAATCTTTAATCTACGGGTCACAATTGGTGTTTCCATAGCTACACCTCCAAAGAATGTTATATACTGTGTGAGACTAATTAACTGAACAAAATAAGCGACCACAACAATGCTCAATTTTATTAGTTACACAATATCAGTGAAAGTGAGTGTTTTTTATCTTATAATTCATGTATTTGTGCAAAATATACATTTTAGATTTGATTTCATTTTGAATTTACATGTTTCGATGTGTATCGACAGCCTAAATAAATTTATATATATTTTTCTAATTTCCTAATAATAAGTCAAACTGAAAGTTTGTAAAAAGATTAAATGTAAGGGATTCTGCTGGTGCTGACCAAGGAATTGGCATGAGGTCATCAAAGTTATTCGGTCATATGAATGTATTGATAGACAAAATAGTTTATAGTATTGGGTTACAAAAGCTCGAGCAGTATGAAAAACGCAGAAGTAAGGCAGTTGCCACCAGCCTCTCTTTAAGTATTGTACAGAGAATATACAGTCAAAACTCTTATTGTTATTGATGTTCTTTCAACATGTAAACACAGTTTGTGTATTGTTTGATTACGATTAAATGTTATTAATGATCGGAAGAATCGACGTATTATTTATGTTACCTTACATAAACATGTAAACAGTGAACAAACTTTTACATATGGGAATATGATTTACTATATTATCCACATCGGTCGACATCTCGAAAGGTATATTTTTATTATTTTTACCGTCATGGAATGAATTATAGCCAAAATCCAGGGATTTAGAGAATTTAAACTATTCACAGTAATAAATGTTAACATGACATCAATGACATCATTCAATTGACATCAATGCCAAATTGTTGCAATAAGTTAAAATCATAAGTAAAATTTATTTAAAAGCACATTAAAGCCTTTTTCCTTTATTTTTTCTCACATTCTTCACTTCCCACTAGTATTTATCCATTCATTCTTCACTTGTAAAATAGAAGACCCAATTTACTACTCTTAAAGTAAGTAGTGTATTGTATTTACTCTATGTATTGTTTCGCTTCTAATATTATAGTAGCTTTGGTTGAATCGGTCCGTGGTACAGCTAATGTTTGTGATCCGTGTTATGTGCTGCCACCACTTGTACTCGTGTTGTTCTGTAGTTGTTTGTTTTTGCAAATGGCTACCGAAAATTGACATTGGTAAACAGGTGATCAATTTTAGCATAGGATTGTCAGTTTATTGTTAAAATTCGCAATTTTTTTTTCTAAAAATGTGCGTAAATTTATAAATATGCATTTATGATAAATAAATATTCTAATAAAAATGGAGGAAACAATGACTAGTTCTCAGGGTGGAGAATCTGATATGGATTGCTCTGACAATGAATATTATGATGAATATTATTATAACTTGAACGATGATAGCGATATTGAACAAATCGATCCGAGGAAGATAGATCCGGAGTATTTTGAATTTAAGTGTCTTTTTGAAGAAGAAGTTGATAGACTTCTAAACGAAACTGTTGAAACTTTAAGTAACATTCTCCAAATATCTCCTTCGTTAGCAAAAGTAAGTCTCCATTTAAAAGTAATGTGCACATCAGTTCTTATAAATTTTTTATAGGTTTTATTACATAGCCACCAGTGGAATATAAACGAAGTGACTAGAAAATTTCACGAAAACCCGTCACATACACTAGTTTCCTCTAGAATTGAGCCTGCAACCACTCCTAATACCATATTATTGACAAGGTATATCACCTGCCCTGTCTGTGTAACCCCACAGCCACTAGATAAGTTTTATAGTTTGTCATGTGCACATATGTTTTGTAAAGATTGTTGGACAATGCATTTCGAAGTACAAATTAATCAGGTAAGTATAAATCCTCAAAAAGGTAACAATTTTTTTTAAATATGTATTAGCTAATTTAGCGATGAAATAAAATCAATTAAAGAGGTACTGATTTATGTTAGTTTAGAATGGCATATTCCATATCATACGGTGTGAATAAATATGTCGCAATAGAATCTGTTATTAAAGGAATTTTTTCTTAAAGGGAATATCTACTGGTATAGCTTGCATGGCTCGTGACTGCGTTGTTCTAGCACCGGAAGATTTTGTTTTGAAACATTTGCATCGTCCAAATATGCGGGAGAAGTATCAGCAGTTTTCGTTCCAGGATTATGTGAAATCTCATCCAGAATTAAGGTTTTGCCCTGGCCCAAACTGTTCCATTGTTGTACATAGCCGCGAAATAAAAGCTAAGAGGGCCACCTGTAGTCAGTGCAAAACCAGTTTCTGCTTCAGGTATGCTTAGCATAAATTTTGTTTTTATTCTGCTTCTACTTTCAGGAATTCAATTTTTAGATGTGGATGTGACTACCATGCTCCAACGGACTGCCAAGTCATAAAGAAGTGGTTAACGAAGTGCGCAGACGATAGTGAAACAGCAAACTATATTAGTGCTCATACCAAAGACTGTCCCAAGTGCCACATATGTATCGAAAAAAATGGCGGCTGTAATCACATGCAATGTTATAATTGCAAACATGATTTTTGTTGGATGTGTTTGGGAGACTGGAAGTCACATGGTTCAGAATATTATGAATGTTCAAGATATAGGGAAAATCCAAATATTGCTCACGAGTCGGTGCATGCTCAGGTGAATACCTTTATACAGGACATGGATAATTTAAATTTGATTTCCTTTTTAGGCAAGAGAAGCCTTAAAAAAATATCTTCACTACTACGAGAGATGGGAAAACCATTCGAAATCCTTAAAATTAGAGGAGCAAACTTTGGAAAAGCTTAGAACCCGTATAAACCAAAAAGTGATGTCAGGTTTAGGAACCTGGATCGATTGGCAATATTTGTTTACTGCTGCGAACTTATTAGCAAAATGTCGATATACTTTACAATATACATATCCATATGCATATTATATGGATGCCGGTTCCCGCAAAGAACTATTCGAGTATCAGCAAGCACAACTAGAGGCTGAAATAGAAAATCTGTCCTGGAAGATTGAACGTGCCGAGACAACCGATCGTGGCGATTTGGAAAATCAAATGGATATTGCTGAGAAACGACGTACTACCCTTTTGAAAGACTTTTTAGATGTGTGATATTTTTCTTAGATGTATTTATTTGTTTAGTTTTTACTATTTGCAATGTTGCCAATGTTTAAGCAGCTCATTATGTCAACTATTAGACTGTGATGAAAGCACCGTAACAACTTACTTTCAATCTAAATTATTTGTATCGGTTTGTGTGATTTTTTTGTTATATTTATTTTTGTTTTTCTATACAAACATTAGAAATGAAAATTATGTGGCAGGATATAATTTATGTAATATTTTATACGTAGTAAAGAAACCGTGTAAGTTGGCAAAGGATGTTGAAAATATCGTACTTAGTTCTTTGCGCACCATTTTATGAAGCAAAATGTTTCATAATTAGCCTTAGATGGATTCTAATGCCACGATTATTATTCTAAAAGTAGAACACCAAAAAGTTTTTGCTGGATATCGTTTCTACTTGGAAGCCTTAATAAATCCTTAATGTAACGGCCACTTATAATTCCATATTTTCTACAGATCTTTGGAAATACTTGTTTGGTACTTTAAATTTTTAATTTATCTTGGTGTTTCACAACTTAAGAGGAAAATAAACCAAAAACAGGCACATTTGCAAACATATATCTAGACCTCAGTTATTTTGAGGGTAAATTTAAAATTTTTCAACAGGTTTTCTAAATGTATGAAAAAGTTGTGTATTAAGTAATTCCATATTTATCAAAACTTTTTGACCAGCTGCCAGAACGAAACCTTAACGCATTTGTAACGAACACTTTTTTAATTACGTATTTATGTTAACTGGCCAAAAAGTTTGAGAGTAATTCCAATCTACCATTTAAAACTTATTTGTTGTCTGTCAAAATATCAATTTCTATATGTTGATAAACATCTAACTTGTGCAAATCATAGCGATGTAGTTAAAATATATATTTTATTTCACAAAAATAATTTTATGTTGTTAGGTACTCTAATTTTATATTTCAATATAAATAAACCTATTTATTTAAATGTCTGTACATAGTTTATATACTTTTACATCAACCTTGAAATGCTCTACCACATTGCAGTCGTTATTGCTTTTGATACAATATTTTATCAAAAGGGTATTAATTACAAAGCAGCTATTAAAGCCACAGCTAATAACTAATATGAAAGGATGAAGAAAATTAGCATTAATTAAAATATTTTAATATAGTAGCCTTTTTCATATTTATTGGCTGGGTTACTGGCAGAGCACTTTAAATTTTTGTGTAATATTTTTAAAGTATTAAAATAGTTTTATTCTCTCCGTTTCGTTTTATTGTTATTTAATTTTATTTATACAACTTATAAATTTTGTGATTTAAATTTAGTGTTGTATGTATTTAAAACGAATATGTCATACAATTTATTAAGTCGTGAAATGGAAAAAATATCCAGAATATTTGGGGTGTTTCAAAAAATTTCTCATTGCTTTGATACTCCCCATTCAAAAATAAGAAATAAAGCAAATGGGTTCTGTCTAATTTTTTTTATCTGGAGCTGTCTTAATCATTTCAATTAAAATTTGAAGTAGCAAATATTCTAGCTTTAAAAATAGGTAGACAAAATCTTTATGCTAATATTTTCTTGCTGTTTAGCGAGTCAGTTAAACATGTTGTAAAAGTTATCTTGATTTTAGTTCAATAGGTAAATACAATTTCATCATTGGAGTATAATAGATTTTAGGTGACTGGCTTGAATTTTTCTAAACACGGTCATAGACACTGGCTGAGATTACCATCCACCAAATTTCATTTAAATTGCTCATATTGTTTTTAAAAAACAAAAAATATCTAATTTTTATAGTTATTAAAATTAAAATATGTATTATTATTCAAACAGAAGTCTAATTGTATGACGTATATCATCTGAAAGTATTTATTTGTGGTATTTTTTAAATAGCATTGCGTTTTTTTAATATTCTATTATGAAGTATCAGTAATTTTGAATGTTTCTTTATAGTAACACTCTGACGTCATACTCAGTGATAACGAGCAATACCGAGGTGGTAATAGTGACCGCTGCTACCAGTATGCAATTCGAAAAACTGAAATCAAAATCATTAATGTCAAAATTGTCAATTATAAAAGTCATGTCAAATTTTCGGTGTCCAAAAATCTGATTTTGTAAATAGATTATTAAAATGAATGCAGTATTATATGTATTTCCTTTTATACTAGATTTAATTTTAATTGTAAGAGGAGACGAAGTTTTAGGTTGTGGAGGTTTTATAAAAAGTCATGTTCCAATAGATTTTTCCAAAGTTGAGGTTAAGTTGTAAGTACTTTGTAGTTCTTATACTGACCCAATTATGTTTAATCCTTTAATTTGTAGAGTAACTAAACAAGGTATAGTTAAAGATAAGACATCTGCGGCTCCAAACAACGGGTACTATTTTGTTCCTTTATATGACAAAGGCGAATTACTTTTAGAGGTAAGCCATAAGGTTTTAAACACAAGTTAACAAAACAGTCATTCATTTGTATATTTTAGTTATCACCACCACCAGGTTGGAGTTTTGAACCAAAACAAGTATCTGTATCTGTTGATGGCGTGTCGGATCTTTGCAGCAGAGGCCTAGATATTAACTTCGTGTTCCAGGGTTTCGGTATTACTGGAAAGGTTTGCATCACAACATTAAAATATATTAAATGTGCATGTTGAATACTTTCAGGTGGAAAGTTTATATAGTGATTTTGGTGGACCAGAGGGGGTAAGCGTTCAAATAAAATCGAAAGAAGAAACTAGGACTACAATTACAGATAAAGATGGAAACTTTTTCTTTACTCCTGTGTTTCCAGGGGCCTATACTGTTTCAATCGAACATCCTAGGTGAGTGTTTATTGTTAATATTTTATTATTTGGTGTTGATATGTTCATAAATTAATTTACATTGCTTAAGGGGGTCCTCTAGTTTCTCGGCTGTTTTTTTACGGCTTCTTCAAAAATTTTTAACGGGCAAACCATAGAAATAATAAATCTCATTGTTTTTACATTATCTTTATTAACATTTAAATGAGCTTTACAAATTTTTTGAAGACAAAATATATAATAGAATCAAAGTTATAGTGGCCGATAGGAAGACATCAAGATTGCGGCTGTTTTGGTTATCTGAAATCAAAAAACCAAACGGCATTTTAATCTTCATATTTAAGACTAGCGATTGAACTAGAATGAATTCTAAATTACAAAAATTATTATTTTTATACACTTTTGAAAATTAAATTCTATTTTTTACTCATTTTTTCTTAAGTTTCTCGCTCGTAGAAAAAAAACTATCCAAGCAATCATGATAATCCTAGTTCAATCGCTGGCTTATAACATATTAAAGATGTTGTATAAATTTGAACAAGATCGGTGCAGTAGTTTCTGAAATATCGTGGTCACCGTTTTGAAAAATAGTGTTTCAAGAAAAACGCGTTTCAAAATTCGCGCATGTGATTTATGATAAAAATTCCATCTCACCGTCAATCTGCTATGCCTGGACCATACAGTAGGCCTTCCTCTTCTTCTTGGAAGTCACGCAGCGCTGCTCCATCTTCCCTTTTCGCGATTCAGTTAGATTTAGGGATATCAATATAATGGTCAGCGCCGCTCGGTTTTGCGGAGCAGCATTGTGCGCGCTCCGTATACCTGCTCCATTCCAGGTCCGTAACTTGTTAACCACTTCGAATATCGAAAAATCCTTTGGCACACATTTTCTACACATGTAAATGTGATTTATGAAAAAAAAAAAAAAATTCGATTTTTTCGACCCGAGAAACTAGAGGACCCCCTTAAGTTCATAACTTTCACATGAATGAACTAATTGAGATGAACCAAGTATCTGTTGAGAGCTGCAATACGAACGAATTTTGTAACTTCAAAATTGTGAACATGTACATCATTAGGTTCATCTCCTAGAGTGAATCCAATGTGCCAAGTCCCAACTGAACAGCTTTTGAAACGGCCACAGTATAGCCCAGATTCGGTTTCAGTTATAATTTAGAATTTTCATGTATAGTCTTTCCGAAGTCAGTTGAACATGCAAAAAAACGCTTGGCAATAAAATTTAATGAGTTTCATAGGCGTCGCTAGAAAAGTTTTCTACTAAAGGTAAAAAAGTATAATATTTTGTATATAATGTGTAGAAAATTTCTATTATATGTTCATTTGACCAACAACATATTTTAATTATTTATGTCCTCAAACAATTTTATTATATTGGTGGTAAATTTTGTTTTGTTCCGTTTCAAAAGGTCTCCAAAATGCCATGTTGTGATAATATTAGCAAACAAACTATCCCTCTGATTTCTCCCTTTCGCAATTTTAATATGAATGATTAATAGAAGGTGCCTATAATAAATTAAAATTACCAGAATCACACCAAATTCCGCATTGCTGCACTGCACTGCTGGGCAATTTATCAACCACTTGTCAACTGTTCAAATTTATTGCCCAGTAGCCCAATGCAACTGTGTTTGTTTTCCTTTGCCCGTGCTCGCATTCTTCAACTGGGCGTATACATTTCTACCACCTTCACGTTTAGTTTGACCAGACCTGTATATAGGTATGGCTAAATAAATATGGGAACACGTTTTTCAAATATTTCTATGCCGAATTGCTGCGTTGGCGACCGAACCTGGTACATACTGTCAATCTGTTGGTTCTTCAATTGATGTCGGAAAGACTATAAATAGTTTAGTCTACTGATTTGCTTAGTAACTACCAAAAAAATGTTGAAATGACTTCTTTGCAAGTTCCTAAATATGAAGACGTATCGATGGCTTTTAACACTTGCTGTCGTATCAGGGGAACCCAACCCACATCTATATATATTTTTTTAATTTCCTTATCGACGAATATTGCAGATGGAAAATTTTAAAAAGATCAGTTGAAGTACAAGTTGCTGAAAGTAATGCAGAGTTACCAAAGAATAGCTTAGTTGTCCACGGATATGATGTAAAAGGAAATGTAAAAAGTGACAATGAACCTATAAAAGGTGTTACAGTTGTTCTTTTCTCAAAAGAAGAGGTAATTATATTTTAAATCGTACACAGATTATTTTTAAAAATGTTGCATTTTAGAAAAAAAATGTATTAGTAGGAGGATGTACCACAGAACCCATAAAAGGCGCACAGTTTCAAAATAAAGTTCTCTGTCACGTCACCTCAAACGAAGCTGGAGAATTTATGTTTGGAACGATACCTAGCGGTAACTACTATATTATTCCCTATTATCAGGGGCATAATATATATTTCCAACCAGAACAAATTGATTTTACCATAAAACACAACAGTTTACAATTGGATCAACATTTTGGGGTAAACGAAAGAGGTTTATATTTTATTCTTTATGATAACATATCTCTTTTAGATTGTCGGATTTAATGTACCAGGCAAAGTGGTGAGAACGAGGAATGTGCCTGTTGCCAATGCTAAAATATTTTTGAACGGGCAAGAAATTATGAAGACTGATGCTAATGGCCGTTACAAACTTAAGAAAATTAAAGCTGGGACGTATAAATTAAGAGCCCAAGCAGGTAAGATTTACTTTCTTTATTTTATATTTTATAGATGGATGTCAAAACTATTTTTTGACTTAAAAGTTTAATTTTTTTGTGTATTTACCTTCTGTAGAGATATATCACATAAAGAAATAATATTAAATTAAATAATAATATTATTAAAAAAAATTGTCTGAAAATGCAAACAACAACAAATAAATAATTATAAGATTATTTAAAAAAAATGTAACATGAAACTTAAATTAACCAAATTGCAGATGATTTGATATTCGAAGAAATTCTTGTAAGAGTCAATCCGAGCTTGCAAGAACTGCCAGACATCCTACCATCGGCATTCAAGGTATGTGGGGAGGTAGCAAGTGATCACTCGCAAATAGTTACATTCAGCAAAGTAGGTTCTACGCAGTTCATACAAACAGAGACTTCGCCACATGACGGTTCATTTTGCCAGTACCTTTCCCCAGGGCAATACCAGGTGCAGGTACTTGTCAGCGATGAAGACAAACAGAAAGGCTTACAGTAGGTTTATTCTTGTTGGTATGTAATTTTGATAACGAAATCACTAACAACTATAAACCTTTTAGGTTCTTCCCTATTACACAAATTATAGAAGTTACCTCAGATAAGATTTTAAATATACTTTTTTCGCAACTGAAAAGTACTATCTCGGGGAAAGTAAAATGTACCAAACCTAAGGATTGTGAATCACTCGCGGTTGTTCTGAGAACTGGAAATGAAAAAGAAGTAACTTTGAAAGTTAGAGGTATTCAAATTTGTATTTATATACAGGACTGTGAAGTAACTTCGAGGTATTTACAATAGATGGCGTAACTTACGCTATATCGCGTCTGACGCTTCTGTAACTATATTCGTGTCAAAGTTTTGTCGTTAGGCTTTATTTTGTGTGTTATGCGTGGACAATTGCTCCAACGGCAAAAAAAGAAAGGGTTTTTTTGCATGGAAAGTCAAAAAATACTTAGAAGCACTGAAATGGGATGTTTTACCCCAACCACCATATTCACCAGATATTGCTCCATCGGATTACTACTTCCAGCGCTTCCAGTCTTATGAAGATACAAAAAATTGGATCAATTGGTGGATAACACCAAAAGATGAGTAGTTTTTTCGACGCAGAATCCGTATGCTGCCAGAAAGATCGGAAACAGTAGTAGCTAATGATGGAAAACACTTTGAAAATTAATAATGTACACAATTTTTCACAATAAAGCCTTGAATTTACAGAAAAAATACTCGAAATTAATTCGCAGTTCTGATAATTAAAAAACAATTGAAGCTCAAATATGGTTTTTTACATAGATCATAAGAATATGCGTATAGTCAAAGCTCCTTATTCGCGAGGGATACGTTCCGTAAATGTACCGAGAATACGGAATCCACGAATACGGAGTGGCATTTGGTATGGAAATATAGGGGATACGTTCCAAATGTTGCAAAATAATAAAACAATATCATAATAAAAGTAATTTATTGAGATAAATTTTAACAATATTAATTATTATTATCAGGTTTAGGCAATGGTTTAAAGAACTTTCGATTTTTTCTTGTTTTGCAGCTATTAAAAGGCTTTTTATTTCGGATTGATATTCAGCTGTGGCATTATCAATTTGCTTCTATTCTTAAAAACAAGACTTCTTTCCATAGACGGATCAATTTTATGAAGAAATCACAAAGCTCATTTGCCATAAACCTTCACTCATGTTTTTTAAGTTTAATGTCACATTTATCAAAGGCCATAGTGGCAAAGGACTTTCGGCTTCGCGACACAGATTTGTTTGTTTATAAATATTTTGATACATACTTGTTTATTTTGACAAATAAATACACATTATTTTAAAAATACAATATGTATCGTTAGTTTTGAATCCGTGAATACAGAATTTTTCACCCATGAATACAGGAAGTGGCCACAATTTTTTTGGTCTGCAAATAGCGAATCTGCTAATATGGGAACCGCGAATAATGAACTTTGACTGTACAGTGAAATCTCATTAATCCAGCACGATTAAAAACCTAAGAGTGGCGGAGTACTGAAAAATTCGAATTAATGGAATATATAAAAAAATGTTACTTTTAATTGTTTATTAACAAAGAGATTAGTACGTATATACATACATATTACATTTGTGTGTGTATATTGTAATGCTTTTATTTTTCTGTAAAATAATGTTTCATAGACTTTTGTTTCTTTTCATTCAATCCTTGTTTAAACACCTATCGCAAATTTCGCGGAAAAAGTTACGCTGAATTACTAGACGTGCCGTTGTAATGAAGTGCCGAATTATAGAGATTCTGCTGTATTTGAACACAGTAACCTCAAATAGCAAATCTTAAAGCTGATATGATTTCTTTTAAAATGGCTCTATAGTAAATAGGCAACCAGCAATACATTTTTGTAGATTTTATTACGTAGTTTGTCTTAAAGTTGGGAAATTCCCGGGAAGATATTTTTTTGGAAATATTCCCAAAATATATTTTGGAAATGTTGCCAAATGTTTCCCGTGAATAATCCTGGGGAATATTTTCTTAGAAACTTTCCATGGAATGGAAATATTTCCAAGGGAAGTTGCCCAGAAATATTTCCCACCACTTACAGACTGTTTTTTGTTTTTTTTTAACATGTGTATACTTATTGTAAGTTGTGGCAACTTTAATGGTTATAATTAATTACATTATAGACTTATTTTTTGCTATTGTAGGTAGGTACTTGATATCTGGAAATTCGGAAATTGTTTCAACATGTATTTACAGCAATTATTTGTACTTATTATTTTTTTAGTAACTTTAACTTGCCAACTACAGATTTAAAAAAAAAATGTACAAATAACATGAAAAGACACTAATGATGCATTAATGCACAAAAAATACAAAAATCGAAACTGCCTTCAACAGATAACCTCGATACAACAATTTGTAATAGCTGTTTTACATTGACAATTTATTGATCAATTAATTCATGAAGTTGCTTCATCAAGAAATTGGAAAGTGTAATGCATCAAATCTGCTGTCAAATAACTTCATGAATTTATTCATTAAGTTCTTGACGATTACAGCATGTTCTAATTTTCGTTAATTTCTTCGTGAAGTTCAGAATTACCAACCCAACGGATTTCCAGCCTCAGATCAGTAATGAGGTTATGTTATTGGAATCTGTAAATAATTGTGTGGCGTCGTACTAGTTTTGCATTGTTTTTACTGATTTGTACCTTACAAAAACTAATATTTATATATGTCAGAACGGTACCATTGTTGTATCACTACATTTTTGATTTGCTTCTTTGATTCATTGGTAGAACTGATTCATTTGTCATAGAACTTGACAAAGTATGTAGCAGTGTAAAACCACACTGCTTACCAATAAATTCATGAATTAATTCATGAAAAGCTTCGTCAATTTATTCATGAATAAATTGCCAATGTAAAACCGCTATAGGTGATGTCATGTGACTGGAAATTCAAAATGTGGAAATGTTCCCTGAGAAGGATTCTTCCCTTCCCGGAAAGTTCCCATTTTCGAAACTTTCCAATATGGAAACTTATCACTGGCCCATCTCTAGTTTGTCTAAATATAAATCAATGCACAAATAACAGACTTTCCTCCATTCTAATGCAGATTTTCTATAAAATGGAGTTAGTTTGAAACTCAAATTACTTTTTGTTTTCAAGAAATTTGTAATGTCACTTTTGAACAAGCGGCATCGTAAATTACAAATTTCTTTACACGAAAAAGTTTCAAACTAAGTCTATTTTATAGAAAATCTGTGTTAGAATGGAGGAAAGTGTTATTTAGACAAACTTTGTAATAAGATCTATAAAAATGTAGTGTTGGTTGGCTATTTGCTATAGAGCCCTCTTAAGTACCAACTTCTGAAAAATTGCGTTTGTCGTTTTTTTGTTCAATGTTTAATAATATAGTGTTACATTACACTTCTTTGCTTGGCTTATTGCATTTTGTTTGTTATAGTAAAATTACCCTTTTTTCAAAAATTAAATGAGTAAATAATAATAAATTGCTAAATTGCAGGTTTGAGATTTACAATTTTCAGGAAGATGTTTCCAAATACGTACATTTAATGAAAAACATACAATTTCATATTTTTTTTACTTTTTTGCGTTAATAACCTATACATTTATAAATTGAGACAACATGTTATTTATACTTTATTTTAAAAATAATGTGTTTTTAGATGGTTCATATACAATTGACGATATGTACCCAGGAATATACGACGTCATTTTATTGCCGAATAAATTTTGTTGGAAAACCAATAAGCAAACGATAAATGTGAACTCCGCAATTGTCGAAGTACCTCCGTTTATTCAACGTGGTTATACAGTATCGTTTGTGTCCTCACATGATACCCAGGTGAGAATACTTACTAAATAAACATAATTAGAGAAATAATTGTTCACTTTCTAAATCAAAGGTTCATTTTAAAACCCCTGGACAAACTACTGTCAAAAGATTTGATATAACCAAAGGTCGATCGAGCTTCTGCTTGGAAAACCCAGGGGAATACGTGTTCAGCCTCGAAGGTTGCCACAGTTATAACCCCAAGACCGTTTCCTACCATACCGATGCCGAAGTAAACGAAATATTACTCACAGCACAGAAACACACCCTTAAACTTGGCATTGACGCGGAAGCCGATTTTGGAAATATTCAAGTTTCCGTGAAAATAGGAACCGACAAGGTCGAGAGAGTATTAAAATACAACAGGGGCCTGTACGAGTTAGACATTTTGTTGGAACCCGGTGAAAACGCCGTGATTATACCGCAATCGGAAACGATATTCTTCAATCCTCCAATCTTGTCGGTCGAAGGAAGGGAAGACTGTGAAAATGTCGGTGTGAAATTCGTGGCGGTTAGAGGGCGATTATTCAAGGGCAAGGTGATTCCACCACTTGCCGGAGTCACTATCACAGTGGAAAGTACGGATAGTGAAACACTGGTTGTTGAAACCGACGTAAATGGCATTTTTAATTTCCCACCATTAGATAATAAGAAAGAATATGCTATTTCTGCTAAAAAGGAATCGTATGTCTTGTCTGGCCCCGATAAAGACGGGAATTTCTTGGCGCATAAGTTGGCTGAAGTTATAGTTGAGGTGTTGGATGCAGCAGATAACAGCCCTTTACCGGTAAGTGAAAATGTCTATATCCATTTTATTATTCAAAATAGGTATTCCTTTAAATAGAATAAAAACTAAAAAATGTACATGTACGTAATCCCATAATTTCCTGAAATTGCCTTGCAACTAGAACTATTGAAAGCGATTGCATTAAAATGATTGCGTATAATTTTTCGTTAAGAGGGCTCTAAGAAAATTTTGTAATTTGCCGCCTTTGAACAAGCGGCATCGTAAATTACAAATTTGTTTCCAAGAAAAAGTTATTTGAGACTCAAACTATGCCCATTTGATAGAAAATCTATGTTAAAATGGGGGAAAGTCTATTATTTGTGCATTAATTCATATTTAGACAAACTGTGTAATAAAATCTATAAAAGTGTATTGCTGGTTGCCTATTTGCTATAGAGCCCTCTTAAATGGAATCCCTTTTTTGATCATAGAGAAAATCTAATTTTTATTTTAAATAGTTTAGCATATCCCAGGATTGCTTTTGAATTACAATGAAAGTGGGTTGCTGGGATGGAACCACAAAAACGCTTCAAACGGGTTGCATGGTTTAATTAGATAAAATAAAAGCACAGCTAAAATACACCTTAAAATTAATTCAAGGGTACTAAAATGTATTAAACAAACATATATAAATTAATTGTGGCTTTGTATAATTTAAATGATCCCATTACAACAATTAGAAATAAGTGAAACAAGACTGGTTTGTCCAATTAATATTGGTCCACTCTCCAATTTGAGTCCGGAGACACACTTAGGCTCTTCTCTTGCTTTCAAGTTCAAAGAGTTGGTTTTAGAGGGTTTCAACCTGATTCTAGACTGTTTTGCACTGGGGTTTTAAGGAGCTCTTCTGTTTATAATCATTACTTGAGGCCTCCATAGAGCGCCTTTAAGCTTTGAGAGCTTTTTCCAGTGCCCCTCATAAGAGGGCTAGTGTATGGCAGCTTTAGGAGCGGTATGAGTGGCAGCTTTAGGACTATGTGCCCTTTGAGGGTAAGACAGACATAGGTAAATGGCTTGAAAAGTTATGTGAGCTCATGTGGTTATTTTTTTGAGAGAATTTAACTCCAATATGGAATTTTATAATTATAGGCTTTATCGTTGACTTTTGAGCATGGTTTACAATAGATGTTTGATAATAGATATTATTATAAACAATTGCATATAATAGTTGTAAAATTTGGGTAGTGTTGCAGGCGCTGGCCAGATTTCTGAATATGACGGGTCGACGTTCGGTCACGGGCAGGGACATCTCTGCTGCTGGTTTTCTTGCGTGATCCAGTTTAGGTCGGTACCATTTCCATGTCACATGAGGTTTCCCTTCCGTTTCGTCAATTTTGAATAATTTTTAACCTCTGAAATTTGAACCTGGAATGGCTCGTCGCCCTTATTTGCGGGTGATTTTAGGCTGCTGGGAACGAGTTTTTGGCGCGATGACAGGAATTGTAAAGGTTGGTGAAATTTTCCCTTCTCCGCGTCGTGTTGTCCTGCTGTCCACAGCATCGTTCGTTGTCGTTATTGACTGCCGTGGGAGAAGTGAGTAGCGGTTGCTCAGAGTAGTTTCAAGCGCGACAACGGGATTTTGGAAAGGTAGGTGAAATTTTTCAACTTCACGCAGTGTTCTGTGCGGCGCCACGCTGGGGCTTTGGGTCATTCGGAATATTGTCTTCGGTTCTCGCGATGATCAGTTCTGTATGCGGTAGTTTTCCAAGTTTTCCAGTTTAGGTCGGGACCATTTTCACGTCCCGACTCTGCAGTGTGACCATTTTCGAACCTCTGGAACATGAGGTTTCTGTTTTGTTAGAATTTCGTTAATTTTGAATAATTTTTAACCTCTGAAATTTGAACCTGGAATGGCTCGTCACCCTAATTTGCGACAGGGTGATGTTAGGCTGCTGGAAACGGGTTTTTGGCATGACGGCAGGAATTTTGAAAAAATTGGTGAAATTTTTCCTTTTCCGCGTCGTGTTGTCCTGGATATTGCTGTCACGGCATCGTTCGTTGTCGTTGTTGACTGCCGTGGATGAAGCGATTAGCAGTTGCTCAGAGGTGTTTCGAACACGACAACTTAATTTTGGAAAGGTAGACAAAATTTTCCAATTTCACGCCACGCTGGGGTTCTGGATCATTCGGAATATTGTCCTCGGTTCTCGCAATGGTCAATTTTGCATGAGGTAGCTTTTCAAGGTTTCCCGGTCCCGATTGGAAAGATAGGTGAAGTTTTGAATATTCAGGACTGGTAATATCACACTATCTAAAATACTGTAGGCATAGCAGAGTTTCAGATAACAATTAAAGTTTCAACTTTATAAGCTCCAAGTAAACTTTGCGACGCTTCAATAAGTTATAGTTTCATCTGCCAAGATATTCAAGCATGAAATCCCCAACATGTAGATTAAACCGGCCTTATTTATATTTTGGAATAAAGCGCCGACAGGGTTAATAGTGGTGAGTAGGCGACATAAAAATGGCTTAGAGGTATTATTAGTAGCCTGGGTTTCAGTCAGGTATAGAAGGGTTTATTTACCTATATATTACACGCAACCCGTCATACACGTAATTAATCTATAATTTTTTTGCAAAAAATGTGATTTTCTCAAAAACAGTTTAAAGTAGATAATGGCATAGTACATAAAATATAATTAGAAATTTATGTTGACTTAACTATTGAACCAAAAAATGGAGGTTTTTATTTAAAAAATAAAATTTTATACAATATCTTTGTTTTTGGCCACCTTGTACATGTGAAAGCTTAATTTACAAATTTGCAACTGTAATAAAAAATTGATAGGTCCGAGGTTATTTTAAACAGAAAGGTGCCTGCATTTTAAATGAATTTATTTTAACCGTCATATGCTCATTGTACAGAGGCTTCATAAATGATTACAAGCCACGTGATTAGTAATTTTGCTTGGAACAGTAATTTTATTTTCTTCACGTTGGCAATTCAATTTCGTTGAAGCAGTAAGATCAAGACTACGTTAAAATACAACATTCTGTTTCACTGGTTGTGGTTGGAATAATTTTTCACGATAGTCCGGCAATTGCATTATCTCGAGCATAGACTTAACGGTTTGTCATTGTTTGTTGTAAACGACTCATTAATATTGGTGACGCAATGGTGTAGAGAATTTTTGTTACCAGGGCCCTGCAATGTTGGTTGTCTAAACTCGATAGTAACGTGGCTTGCAAACATTTACGAATGCTCTGTATGTATACATATATACAGTGTATTCAAATTTAATCCAGAACAGTCTTGTTAAATTTGCCTAGACTGCGGATTTCAATGAATTTTATTTACATATAGAACCCTCTTAGGTATACTTAACGAATGTATCACGATTTTAATGTTTGAAATATTTTTTTTTTCCAACAGGGTGTACTACTTTCTCTGTCCGGTCGAGAAAGCTATCGTAGAAACTTACAGAGTGACGAAAATGGAAAAATCTCTTTCCATTCGTTGAGTCCAAGCGAATACTTTTTACGTCCAATGATGAAGGAATATCAGTTTGAACCGAACTCGAAAATTATTCTGGTAAATGAAGGCCAGACTGTACGCGTCAAACTCATGTAGGTCGTTTAATCAATTGTTTTATCCCTATAAACCTAATTTGGGTTTTTTATAGCGGAAAGAGGGTGGCCTACAGCGCTTTTGGACAAGTGGTTTCGTTAAACGGTGAACCGGAAGACAACATGATAGTCATTGCATCAGGAGTTGGTAACTGCAGTCACTATTCCGAAGAAACCACTTGTGAGCCCACAGGAAAGTTTAGAATCCGAGGATTGCAGCCGTATTGCTCCTATAGGGTTATCGTCAAGGGAAGCGAAGATGAAAGATACCACGTCGAGAGGACAACCCCAGAGTTTATAGAAATCAACGTAAGTCGGTTTCGTTAATTAATATCATAATTTTTTTAAAACGAATTTAATTTTCAGAGTATATCCGAAGACATTAAAGACTTGAAACTAATAGTTTTCCGTCCTGCTACCCAGATGGATGTCCTAGTAAAGATCTACGCTGAAAATGTCGAACACTACAAGTCGTTGAAAGTCAAACTGATCCGAGAAACTGGCTCATCGATCATAGTCCATACGGCGAAAATTGACGCATTATCTTTAAAATTAACCAATGACATCAATCCGGGCGTGCTTTTACATATTCCGTCCCTACCTATCGACAACAGGCTGTACTCTATCCAGTTAGAGACAAATTTAGCTCAGAACACTAGGTGGAAGCCGCAGATCCACCATTTTAACGCAAACACCTCTTTCAAGTATATCGAATTGGATTTCAATGCGAAGAGTAGCATATCGGAGCAACCGATTAAGCAGACGTCGATTTGGAGCTTGATTTTCATCCTCAGTATAATTTTTTCGCTGTATAACATTGAGCTAGTAGCTAATGTGCTGAAGGACAAATTCGATTTCAACATTAGCGCTATCACTAATTTGATTCCTATTCCCAGTGCTAGTCAGAAGAACGCGACTGATTATTACGATAACGCGCAGATCGATCAAATCGTTCAAAGCATTAACGCCGTCAAGAAGAAACCCAAACCGAAAAAAGCTTAATTAGTGTAATTTGTTAGCAATTTGTGATTCACTTAAATCAAATTTAGAAACTTTTTAAAAAATCGGGGGTGAGGATTGGGGGGGGGGGCAAAAAAAATGTGTGAAATGTACAGCATTTCTTTATTTAGAGGGGTACAAGTCATTGGCATAAGTGAAAAAGTGATCAATTTTTTACTAAGTACACTTGGAAACTATGACTCGATTGCAAATCTTAAGCGTTCTATAGCAAATAGGCAACCAGCAATACATTTTTATAGATTTTATTACACAGTTTGTCTAAATATGAATCAATGCTGAAATAACAAGACTTTCCTATATTCTAACGCAAATTTTCTATAAAATGGAGTTGGTTTGAAACTCAAATTACTTTTTATTGTAAAGAAATTTGTAATTTGCCGCTTCGTCCATTTTATAGAAAATATACGTTAGAATGGAGGAATGTCTGTTATTTGTGCATTGATTCATATTTAGACAAACTGCGTAATAAAATCTAAAACAATGTATTGCTGGTTGGCTATTTGCTATAGAGCCCACTTAAGTCGGACGTTATTCTACACCTCTCGATTTGGGCTGCTATGTTCTTTTCTTTTTATTACTCGACATTCATTCAAAAAATAATTAAATGAATAAAAAATAAAATCTATTTGCACAAAAAACTTAAAAATTGGTAGATGTTTATAAAATTTGTTACGAGGGCGTTTTAGGAGGTGTAGAATAACAAGACTGAAGTGCAGACTTAGTATTTACAATTTTGTGAAAGTTATAATGTGCATTCTTAGTGTATTACACAGAAAACGTTAGACCTCCATTTATTTTTTAATTATTGAATTAAAGGGTAACACCACTGTAGAGATTGACAAAAGGTGATTTTCTGGAATTTTCAAGGTTTTCAGGTAGTATTGTGAATTTTTTCAAATGGTTTGGATTCAAAATGGCGGCTGTAGGTGATGGCAAGCAACGACCCTTTTTTTCCAGACGGCTTTATGACCGGAAAGGTGTCTTGTTAACGGATGGTCTTGGAACAAAAAAATTAAAATTTTATACTAATTACACTAATTATATACTAAAAGCTAGGCAACATTGTAGGAAAATTAAAAAATATTAATAATTGTTGATTTTGTGAACATTCAAAGAAAGTATTGATTGATAAAATAAAATTTTGCATTAAATTGTTAATAACCGTGAAAATTGTTCATCAATCGAAAAACATTTTTATGGATTTTATTACACAGTTTGTCTAAATATGAATAAAATGCACAAATGACTGACTCCCCCATTTTAACGCAGATTGGCCTTAGGATCAGCGGCGGGTCTAGGATTTTCATGAGGAGGGGACGCAATGTAAAAATGTTAGTAATAATAATCACAATAATAATTATAAAATTTAAAAATATTAATTATTAGTAATAAAAAATATTGCCTTGCAATTTTTCAAAGTAAATCTTTAAAATCGTTATTAAACAGTAAAGAAATTCATAATTATAGCCGTCTTATATATAATAAACTAATTGCCTTTATAAATAGTTTATAAACATACAATTACTAAACTAATACAGAAAAGAAATATTTCACAAGAGAAATCTAAATATAAAAGATTAATTTTATAAAAAAAAATCAGTTCTTGGTTTGGTTTTTGCAAAACGATTTATAACATCATCTATATGTTGATGTCTCGATGAATATAGAGAAGTGCAAGGCCTGTTAAACAATCTTCAGTCATTCTTGATCTCATCCATGACTTAAGAGTTCGTAATGTTGAAAAATTACGCTCTGCTGTTGCAACAGAAATCGGGAGTGTTGAAAGCAGCTTCAATAAAGACTTCATGATAGGATAAGAATTTTCATTGCAATGATCATATGCTATTATGCTTTTATCTATTTTTTTTAAATTCGTCATAACTAGGACTACTCTTGATTGATAAAATCTCATTGAAAAGCTTCATTTTCATTGATTCTTCTCCAATATCCAATAGAGCAGAGTACTGTTCACAGATAGGATCAATAAATCTGCTTAGAATTCCTAAGTCATTTATTTTGTCTAAATTAGTAGAAACTAATTTGTATAAACAAAAGTACTTCACTGATTCATAGTTGAATCTGGTTTGTTTAGGAATTTTCATGAATCGGCGCGCGCCCCCCGCGCCCTCCGGCTAAATCCGCCACTGCTTAGGATTGGATAAATTGGACTTAGTTTGAAACTCAAATAACTTTTTGGTGTAAAGAAATTTGTAATTTACGATGCCGCTTGTTCAAAAGTGGCAAATTACATATTTCTCTACAACAAAAAATAATTTGAGTTTCAAACTATGTAACTCCATTTTATAAAAAATCTGCGCTAGAATTGTTATTTGTGGTGCATTGGTTCATATTTAGACAAACTGTTTAATAAAATCTATACAAATGTATTGCTAGTTGCCTATTTGCTGTAGAGTCCTCTTCAGCATAAGAAATTTATTATCAATCAGTGATGCCTGCACCATATAACTGGCCTTCTATATTGATATTCTCTTGTTTTTGGCTTGACCTGAGACAGGATCTGGCCTCTATCCGTCACGTGCGTTGTCAAGAGTTACACTTCTGCAGCACACTGCGAGTGCTTGTGCTCCACTTTGAGAAAACTTGTTTCCAATTTTTCTCCCGCCTGAAACTTTTTTATTATATTCTTCGCATAATAAAGCATTGTTTAAACCATTTATCCAAAAATTGATTTTTTCAAAATTTTAAAGTGGATTTACCCCTTAATGGCCTGTATGTGCATATATCGGGACCCCCTCTTTTAGAGGAGTATGCTCGTACATATGGAATACTTATTATAAAATTTAGTCATTCCTTTGTTGTATTTTTTTCCATATTGAAAAATGTATGTTTTTTACTCAACTTCATGATTCTGATTTTTTATCAACATATATTGGGAAAAATACTTTTTATAGAGCCCCATAGACTACATTCCATTCGTGCGAACAGGACCGTATGGACCAAATGGCGTGAACCAAGAATGTACGGTTTTTTGCTCACAAGCTACGAAACCTAACCGAAACAGATTTTGCACTTTTTTCTCCACACACTGTGTGTCCGCATGTTCATGTGAGTCCGTGCGGCCCAATTCGTGCGAATTGAACGAAGTCTGTGGGGCCCCATGTTTCTATCCATACTTTTAAAATGCAATATGAAGTCATTTGCATTTAATAAACAGAATTTTCTTTGAAATATTGGAAGGAAATATAGTGATATTTTTTACGTATTGCTATATTAATTATTGTTGTTAATTTTCAGCGAATAAAATTTATGAATTTGAAAGTTTTTTTATTACGGTAACTAAAGTTCCCTCTAAGCTGCGTGGGTGCGCGGCCTAACACTAATTTTTGTTGCGCAGCCGTTTCTTGTATTCTGAGCACAATCGGCTTATTCACCATTTTTTTAAATTTCATTTTATTGCATGTAAAAATGGCAAAAATTCCAAGTTGGTTAGCCCAATCAGCTGATTGGGAATATTGTGCAGGTTTTATTTAATACAGTTACTAAAGGCCATTCAGCGAATTGTTTGACTAAAGAACTTTGACCGAACTAGTCCCATATATTTTTGTACCGTGCTGTCAGTGAGATAATTAGAGGGAACATTGGGTAACTAAATTATTGGTTGTCTATAAATGTGCAAAATTTGATAAAAATCGACTATGTATTTTGTGATTCTGGCATACTGACGGAAGGTATTTTTCATATTTTGTAAATAAATTCTTTCACTAAAATTTATGCCATGGCAAAGGAGAAGCTAAATAATAAGATGCTAAATTCGTCTTTAGAAGGTCTTTCTATTTATTTTATAAAATATAGAGCGTCCTATTAAAGAAAAATGTCGATAATGTTATAGGTCTGTCAAACATGGCTCAAAAAAATAAAAAATATTGCAGAAAAGTGACAATTTCTATTTACTAATTGACCTGTTTCAGCGAATTTTTGAAACTGAACTGGGAAAGAAATATGAATTTTGTTCCATCATTTTAAGACACACTGTATAAATATGAAATTTATCTTTTTTTATACTTTGTCAAAAAAAATGTATCAGACCTTTTTCAGAGGTTCAAAATTGGCTCGAAATCCTCGGTCAACATTAGTTGTTTACCCTGATGAGTTAACTTCTTACACTGTTCTACTCTTTAAATACTCTTAAGCAACTGTAACAGCTCTGAGGAACACAAATATTTAAACATTTTTCAATCATTTCTTTTTCATTTATTAAAGTACAAAATAACCACAATGAAATAATCCTTGGACGTAAACAATCGTCTTTATGAAATAAAAAATACTAATTTCACATAGTGTGGGAGTAGTTTGAGAGTGTAAAACTCTTCGTGCGCGAGGGAGGCAGGGGACGATAAACAAAAACACTTTAGAAGCAAAATGTTCCAGCTTATTGAAATGTAAAAAGCTAATCTGAGTGCCTCCGAAATATCTATTTTTTTTGTCGATTGGAAAGCGGCACTCCTGCAACATACGGTACCAGGAAAAACGAATTACACCGATTTTGACCGAGCCGAGGCGTAACGGTTATTGTTTTTACAAGAAACAGGTACGCCACCTAACCTAAGCGGTCATTTTAAAGTTCTGTTTTCTATTTTATTATATTCATATTTCATTTGTTTTTACGTGGTTTAGTGTCAAAGTAGTGAATAATTAAACGTGTTTAAGAAACGAATAGCAATTTATTGCATTTACATTGATATCAGTAAAGTTTAATTCATAATGATTATGTGTATAAGCAATTTTTATCTTGTGATTTAACTTTTATGTGTAGTTTTTGTGTATAAATACTTTTTGTAACTTTATAATGTGGATGTGTGGACGCTCTACTGCTCTAACAAATTACACAGCTAACGGTGGTAATGCTACAGAAACGGTGGTGAGTGCCTATCATATTTATATTTTATATATGCATGTAGGTATGTACATATTACAGCACCTTAGATATGTGACCATACATTATCACGGTATTTGATTGATTCTTAAAAATGTAGCTGCATGGCACAGTAGCGTACCAAGAAAAAAGTTTAGGGGGATCCAAAATGTTGATTGTAAGTGAAAAAATGTGTCCTATAAAAATAAAAATGGATTTTTTAAGTTGAATTCAGCATTAAACCATGCCCCCTGCTTTATAAACAATGTAACAGTATTGCTTTGAGTACGATTAATTTATTTAAATATAATTAAAAGAAATTGATGACTATTAATAACAAATAGCAAGTAGATCATTTTCGGTATTTATTTCCATATATACCTATTGCTTCTTCACTTTAACTGCTTCAAGAACTTATTATTTTTGTGCTATTTTATAAAAATCCACAATTTTTTTGTATAGAACATTTTGCCTTGAAGCATAGGATAGGAACAACTTAACTTCTATATATACTTAGGAGCTATATATGTATTTTAGTCAAGAAGCAAAATTTGCCTCTAAATATGAAAGTTTTTATTTTATACTTTAATTACTAATATACAAAATACACGTGATTTTTTTTTAAATAATTTAAGTTGTTAAGTTGTTTAAGTTGTTAATGTAAGTTGTAGTATATGCTATATTTGAAAATACACCCATATCTCGTTAGGTGCTCAGACAAGGAAGGGGTATCTGAATACTTTGAATTGCCTGGTAATAAATTAGTAGGGTTATAGGAGTAGACATAGCAGTTTTTTTTGGCGCAACAAAAATTGAAACAACGTATCATTGTAACTGTCTTTATTCAATTCCATTTTCTACAATATATTAATCTAGGATTTATCTGTATAATTATTGACGTGACTAAGCACGATTTCCAATCTCATGCGTAGCAGCCAGAAATATATCTTATAACTTACGATCAAATCTATAACATAATAAAATGCTTAATTTGGCGAAGTACATTAATTTCCTTGATTGTCTTGTTGGTAAAATCTAATAGACATTTCTAAGCCATTCTATAGGAGAATCTTTAACGACAAATTCCAATTTGTACACTGAAGGCTAATGCAAAGGTTATTTACATGTTGTCGTGGTTTTGATAATAGACCTTAGCATTATAATTAATTACTTATATCATATCTTATACATATATTTAGTAGCAAAACATTTTTGTATGGATTCATTTGATTTGAAATATATAGTTTTTTTGATTATTTGTTTTAAATGTGTGGTTTGAAAAAAAAAATGGCAATCATTTCTGTCAGAATAGGAGCAAAGTAAAAATATATGAGTAGGGTTTATTTTTGTATTTTTTGTATTAGTAACTAAAAACTACGGCAATTTTCAAAAAAATAATGTACTTAATGACAGTTGGGTTGGTATTAAAGATTCTGCAATAGAGCGTAGCCAAAATTGAAAGTAGAATTATGTTATATTTTGATCACCCTTATATTAATACTTCATAATCAAGACATCAGCGTCAGTTTCATCTTTGATGTGGCTAATTTTTACAGTATCAAAATAGAGCCTCGCTGATATCTAAATAAACCTAATAAATCCTTTAATTTTTCCTCCTCCAATATACACAAATAAAATTTATATTACAAAATTTAATACATTCAGATTTCTTAAAGTTTTCTTTAAATAACCGTTGTGCACAACTGTAGTTGGTCATTTAAAGAAAATTAACAACAAGATTGAACGTTTATTAACTATTTTACAATTTTAGGTACAACATAAACATGTAACAAAAGATCGTAGGTACTATAAGGTACACACTATACACTGCGGCTTTTTACTAAAGTTATTGACTAGATGGTTATATTTCACAATTGCAGAATCTGACGCATCGTTCACAACTAACGCACCCCCCATAGCCTACTTTGACTAGTTACACAACATTTATTAGAGCTAACACACAGAAATATGATATGTTGTTATGATGAATGTAACTTTGGGCAAGGGAACACAGTGAATAAGTGAAATATTAAAACACACACGAAAACGGCTTGGTTCATCAGTGGTATGGCTGGGGTTCGTTAGCTGCTAGACAATTTGTAACCTAGTGGCCAATAATATAATTGGTCTTAGCCATCACGAGGGAAAATTACCCCTAGCTGAAAACGTTAATAGTTACATACATTACTACTTCGTGTTCCAGGACACGTACAACAAGGACGCTAATAGAAAATTATTGGTTTTAGTTTTATGCTTTTCACCACCCGTACTTCCATTTTTTAAAGGTTATTTAAAAACTTAAAACGGTTTGATAAAATTCAATCATAAAATACGAAATTTAAAACGGTTTACGGTATACCATGTGTGTAAAATTTTAACAAAGTTTCGATTTTCTACTTTTTTTAAGTAGACAATTAAATGAAACATGTTCTGGAACAGACCATTTTTTCAGCTAGGGATGTCTTATACATGCTGCTGAATATATTTTTCATTATGACTAGTTTCACAGCTTTCGACTACAAGAAGATGATCTTGAGGGTACACCGGAAAAGGCTGTGCCCTGGAGATCCGTCAAAAGCATTCATCAAAACGTAGCTAAATTATACAATAAATAGAAAAAATACTTTATATAATAACGTTATCATATATATAAGCCTTTTTTATTATAATTATAATTCGTTTCTTTTTTGCACAGTTCTTTTAGACAACAATATAACTATCACAGAGTATGATATTTCAAGAAGAGATAATATCTAACAAAAATAATGCACAGAGAGACAGAAAGTCAAGGGCCGCCTATCTTTAGCCTCTTAGGTTACTATAGTTATGTAATTGACTACTGTGCGAAACAAAGACTTGCACCAACTGCATTCCTTGATGGAGGCTTAATCTAGTTCTATATGCCAATTTCTAATCCACTATCTCGTCTTTTGCGAGTCTAATTGCTTTGTTCAGATCTGTTATTTATCTGAACAGAGCAGCTGCAGCATCTTTCCGCAAATCAATCGCCTGCTGCAGATCTTTAAGAGATGTGGAAGGTACGCCGTAAATGATAAACCAGAATAGAAAATAATTGCTTCACCGATTTTTTGCGTTGTAATTTTGAGAAACGTTTACGAATATGCTTAGAAAACTCTACACAAAAATTGGTCAACTGATTGCTACGTTGTCGTTCTATTTTCACAACTGAGGAATACGTTCACAATTTTTTTGCCTCAGTTTGAGTTCGTCCTAAAATAACATGACTTTAGTCTCCTGTTTCTGTTAAGACAGTTATGAAAATTATCTTTAAATATTTAATACAGCTACGGTGGGTAATTTAAAAAACTCAGGGATGAGTGTTGTATTGGTTTAACAAATCAGAAACTAATTTTTTGAACACTGTGTGATTAAATTGCCAAAATATTTTTTTTAATTATTCTGCTTATAAGTTACAGTGGATACTTTTTGCATAATCTCAAGAAAATAAGTAGGTAATTAAAAAAAAACAATTGTTATATTTCTATTGAAGGATGTAACAACACATCAAATTTCTTTTCCCAAATCCAAAATTATGCTTTTTCGCAATAGTAGTACGCATGAAAAATTGTATGTCAGTTTTAAGTTTCAACAATGAATCTAATTCATTAAAAACGAAACAATAGCAAAGATTTTGTAATAATTCCACTAATTTTTCTCATACTCATCGAATCAGTTTTTATTACAAGGAAATTTTCATGACAGAACTAAGAAACCAGCTATTCCAGTCTGTTAATTTTGTTGAAATTATCTGTATAGAATATTTGAAAACTTACTATCACTGGTATTGTGTTTTTTCTAAATAATTCAGTACAGTTCTGACAAATTATTTCATTTGAATAGTAAGTTTTACTAGTCGTTTCGTTAGCTTATCGGGTCTAACCGCATTTACCTATTCCAATTTAATCGTTTAACACAACACGGATGAAAACCGATGTTTAAAACTACAAAATGCAACTTGACTTTTCTAATCCGGTATAATTTTGCTAGCTGGTCCCTTATATTATTGTTTAGGTGCGATAAAAAATGATATAGGTACCTTTGCGCGGAGGAACAGTAAGTTTTCAGTAAAATTTTCATAACTGTGTGTGGTAGAGCAAGAACACAGGTCCACCAAGAAAAAGATGGAGCTGTTTGAATGTGTCAGACGCGAGAGTTTCTCACAATTGCACAAGTGCCGGGCTGACAACGGCACGTTAATTGTGCAGTTGCCAAAGGGTAGGGCACTGGTTGAGTGGTTCCTTTACACTTAGACACTAATACAGCCGTTAAATATGAGGTGCTCCTAAAGTTTAGCGTGCAAGTTATATACTGTCATTAACGAACATATAGCTATTTATATATAAATGCTAAATAATACTCGTCTTTCTATGTTTCTACATCTGCGGTATACTTTTAAATCTTGTATCAAAACTTTCCTTCATTCATTATACATATTATATAAAATGTTGGATTTGGGATATCACGTTTAAATAATGTATATATTTTTTTTATATCACGCTCGCGTTCATCATTGAAATGCCTAAACAAACACGGTAGCGATTGCTCACGATGCATGGCAGGGCTGGCAAATCCGAATCTAGCGACGAGATACTAATGACTGCGCCCGATGTCACCGTATGTACAATAATAATACATTAATTTGTTTTTAACACGTGTGTACCTATTTGTTTCCATTAGCAAGCTAATCCATGGTGTTGGGCTCGTTGTATTCGGATTGCAACTGCCACTCCGTGTTATACTTGATTACATAACTATCTACTAACCTATCTATATCTCCTATCTAACTGTTCTTCCCTAATTCTACTGCATTTGTACAGATGAAACTTAAATTAATTTGAAAACTTCAATTCAATTCTTTACAAATATAAACTCTTATATTCTATTTCTGTTTAATAATATGACGACCCTACCGCAGAAGTACAGGTAACTTAAGTAAAAATTGTTGATCCTTAAAGAGCAGACTCGAGGTGTCGAGGCCTAAAGTTCTCTAGAACTTCCAGGGTAACACAATATCATGGCCTTAAGTGAACCCCATCTACCTTGATTTTGCGCCTGCGCCAATACATTTGCTGCTTGTTTGTTTTTTGGGCGCACTCGGTTCACACCAGCAGGCTAGGAGTGAGCCAGTCGTCCTCTCCTATCTGCCAAAAAGACGCGAAATTAAGAAAGATGTACACATGCAAGGCCGTGAACTAATGGTACGAGCGTGAACTAGGCTAACAGCTAGCCTAGGCTAGGCGGCAGAGGCCAGTGCAGGTATGCAGAGTCCACAACCTCTCAGCATTCATACCAGCATGTCACCCAACCCTTTGCTGTTTCGAATCTTTAGTCCTCGTCAGCTCTACATTTAATGGATGGACTTAGGACTTCTAGATGTGTTGTGTGTTACTACTTGAAATTTGGCACAAACAATTACATTTCCGCGAAAAACTACTGATACGGTATCTTGTAGGTTTTTTTTTAATATATCACTATGTCGGGTTGATGACAATTGTGTGTGTTTCATTGGGCCTGAAATAGAAAAGGACGTTAGAACGCTGAGTAGAGGACCGCTGGGGAACGTGGAGGTATACTCAAGCAATCTACCTAAATATTTCATCTAAATTTCATGCTTCATATCGTCGACCAGCCACAAGTAACGTGCTTATGTAGGCTGTTCCCAAAAGAAGAGCACATATCGGCATATAAAGTACACAAAAAAAAATTACGGATACGAAATCCGGCGATATTAATATTTACATTATTACTCTTGCGAGATTTAGAAAACCTCAGAAATCTTACTTCGTCTGATACTCGTATCAGTACTTTAAAGGGCGGACTTGAGGTATTTCGTTTAATAATTTCCCTTTAAAAACATGCTGATGACGATATAGATTTTTTTTTAAATTCATGTACGCTATAACGAAGGACTTATGAGGGTTAGTACTAAAATGTGAAAATCGAATCGAACTGCGAATAAATCATATAATTTTCCATTAGGAATTCGGAGTACAGGGTGTTTTTTAAGTAAAAGTTCTTTTAACGCGATGATAGAATAAAAAAAAGGAACATTTTTCAAATAACAACAAAATATAATAGAAATAAGAAATGAACCATTTAAGTAAATCCGGCCCTGTCCAAAAAAGTTGTTCGATATGTCTGGCACCAGCTGTTGGACCTTCTTCAACGGTAGATCTTAGATCTTCAGCATTCTACCTGGTCTTTTAGCACGTCTACCGCGATTATCCTGAAGGTGTCCTGTTTTTGGAGCCGTTTGAACAACATAAACAAATCGCGCTACGGGATGAGATCGCAAAGGAAAACGGTCGACACACAATCGCGATGCTATAACAGCGTTTTGGTGATACTCCCCGTATACTAAAAGGAGATCGTCAATTTAAAAAACATCCTGTGTATGCGGTAAATAAGTTCTTTTGGATAACTTCACAAAAAATTTAATGGATTCAGGTACGGTTTCCTAGGTGTCCATAAGACAGGTCCGTCTCGATCATTAAAAGTATTAGTAGGAACAGGAAAAAATAAACATAGGTAATAGTAGTAGTATTGTTATTTTGGCCACCCTTATACGCTCCCGAGAGATTAGTAGATGCTTGCCGGACACCCTGTACATATAATTAATAGGAATTTTGCAATTATTGTGCAACATTTACCTGAAGGTGAAATGTATTACACTACAAACTGTTTTTGAGTAAATTATTATTTTAGATTTGACTTTTATTATATCCTCTTTTACATTTACGCTTAACGAAACGTAAACACAGTCCTGATTCGCATTAGTACTAGCCCTAGTGTTTATACAGAGTGTTTAATATAGAAAGTGACCAAAATAGGGAAGATGTTAATTTTAATCACTGTTATCTCACCTCTATTAACTTGAAAATCAGTAAAAATCTTACTTTTTTTTATAATATGTATGCAGTTAAAGTTTAGAATTGTGATTTTCAAGAAGGGTTGCAAATATAACACAATATGTCAATAGTATTTACAATGTCACTTTGATACGAAATACCCTGTATAAGGCATGTATTCAAAGTTAACCATCGTTGTTACTGCATGTGAAATAAATATGGTATTCAATTTTGTTCAACTTGATATTTTACTGATTTTCAAATGTTTTCCGGGATCTTGCAAGTCATAATAAAATTGTGTGAAAAGCATCGATTCTTTGTCGATCTATCAAATTCATAATCATATAAAATAATGAAGTGTAAAGGTAGTCATCGTACCGCATAAACGTAAAATGTGACATGAAGGGTACTAATAAGAAAAAAATTTAGAGACATGCTTCTAAAAATCCATATCGCACTTTTGACATGTTCATACATACTACATCAAGAAGCGGTCATGCTTGGCAAAGCGTGATCATGCGACGGTCTTAAATTCTTACTTGATACTGCTGGATGGGGAAAACGATGCCAGGTTGTTGGAGCGTTGCAGTCGGAGCTGTCATCTGCTGTGGCGTCGCTGGGATTTGCGGCTGGGCGGGAATGCCTTGCCATGCCGTAGCTGCTGTCGGTACTTGTAGTCCCATTCTACCAATCACAATAGTCACAATAAAAACAATAACTTCTTGACACGGTAACGTCAATAAGAAATTAAAGTTAATTCGATAGCAGTAAATAATACTACGCTAGGTTAAGTAGGCTCAAGCGAATAATGAAGCTGAAGACAGAAAAGGACTGGAAACAAGGGTGAAAAGATGACTGACTGAAGAAGAAGAGATATTAAAAGGAACGAAAGCACGGCATTACAAGCTTACAAGCTAGTATACATACCCCATGTAGGATTGCTGGTATCCTCCAAACTGTCCGTAGGCGTACCCTTGCATGCCTCCCAGGAATTGACCCTGCATTTGAGCGGAACTAGCCGCCGGATAACTCTGAGGGTACCAGTAGCCGAGCTGTTGACCGTACGCGCTGTATGGGAAGCTAGTTCCAGCAATAGCCTATAATCCAAGAAAGAATTAGGATGATCTCATCTCGCAGAACCAACATTATTTCTAACTATTTGCTGGTATAACCGCATATTCATTTGAAATATTTGGATGCTGTTTATCCTTAGAAACAGGAGGGTGAAGTGTATGATGTATGCGAGATGAAGCCAAAAACAAATTGGATGCTACTCTTTACTTTACTATTTCTGCAAGAAATGTGATGCACCAAGAAGATCCAAAAGTGTTTAAATAAAATATCACAATTAGGAAATACACAAGTAGTGGGGATTCTATCGTACTTCAAGGTCACTCCACTGGGCTACCGCCATCTGTAGCTAGCACCAGGTCTCCAGCAGCCATGAGGATGCTGTCCTCCAAAGTCATGCTGAAGAAGTGTCACTGTGGAGCGGGGGTGGTAAGCTAGATTGCAGCAGAGGCGGGGGTCTGTCGACAATGACCAGGAGGTCGTCATTGAGGAACGCGACGTCAGCGGTGGCACCAGGTGCCAGCTCCGGATGGCGGTAGCCCAGTGGTAGCCTGGCGTGACCTTGAAGTGTATTAGAATTCTCACTGTTTAACTACTTACGCAGTAATAAAGGCAAGAGTGTACAAAAAGTAACTATGTTTTTGGGAATGTGGTAACCAAATAAAAAAATAAATGTTTTGATTTGTCTCCTAAAATTTTGCTGATGGATATTTAGCCATTAGGAATCACTTCAATCTTCATTCCGATCTGAATGATGAAAATGAATATAAAAATAAGCAGTTTAATATAAAGTAGTAGTTTCATGCTTGATATTTGCCAATAGGTGCCTACAAATCCAATGAAAATGTCTATGCATATCGCAAAACAGTAACACTAGAAAAAAGAAATGACGGCAATAGAGAATTTATTGCTACATGTACTACTCACTACTCGAAACTTGGCACAAATCGACAATTGAATAAAATATAATTCTAAGTGAGCTGGAAGTGAAATAGGGATAAGGCATTTTGGACACTTGGATGATTTCTTTCAGTGTATCATTATTATTTATACAGTATTTGACAGAATTGAAATATTTGTACGTCTTGCATTTTATGCTGCAAAGGACCAAGCATATTTTTCAGCTGGTATATAGAACTTTTCGCACGTTTTGGGTTTACCTGTCCAGCCACCGGAGCATTATTGGGATCGCCGGATTCCTTCCCCCATGAACATTTCACGATTTGCCCATTGATATCCGTGTTGTGCACTGCTACGATTGCATGTGTGGCCGACTCCTTTGTGGAAAACCTGCAAACAAATTCCCGACAATATTATTATAAATATTTCTGTGCAATTTCCTCTCCGGGAGGGATTATTCAAAGTATTTGTTTCCTTCTTTCGATTGAACGTCCTAAATGCAAAGGGATTTATAAAAGAATCGAGCTAAAGGCTGTTACGGATCGGTTGGCGACGATGACGATGGCGGAACAATGACAGTACAGGTCGCTCTGAACTAATTTAAAAATCTCATTTAATTTCAGCGGACCTTAAAAAAATATCAGTGAATAATAAGAAACTTTATAAATAACGGTATTTCTTTAAATATAATTGACAAATGGTATGGTTTCAGGAAGCTGTTTTTATACATTTGGAAGAGAAAGGATAACTTAAACAGGCTGTTACAAATTCGCTTCTCACCACAGGGATCTCGGAAACGGTAAGAGATACGAAGTAGCTTAAATGGGGGCAAAGTTGCATAATCAGGGGACCAACATGATGCATCTAAAAAATTAAGACTAACGTGATTAGTTTTCGAAATATAAAAAAAAACGAAATTTTGGAAATCCGTTTTTGTTTCATTTCAGCCTTGTTTGAGGTGATATTGAAAAAAGAATGTTTTATTGTAAGGTATGATGGTAATAGTTTAAATAACTAGGTGGATTTCACAGGGTCTAACGACACTAGAAATCTAAATAAAAAATTAGATTCATTTGGAACGAATACATTGAAGATGACAGACAAAACGTCTGATTCTGGTTCGGGCTGAGGCAGTACAGTATTGGGGGTTAAGAAGGCTTGCAAAAAATGTAATAAAATTTACAGGGTCGTATTTAAAAAAATGATGTTGATGATGGTCCTGAGACGAAACGTTACATATAAAAATTGATTATGCCATCCAATAGAGGGCAAAAAGTTGCAATGAGAAAATATCCTTTTTTCTATATCACCTCAAACAAGGGTGAAATGAAGCAAAAACGGATTTCCAAAATTTTGGTGTTTTTCAAATATTTCGAAAACTAATCATGTTAGTCTTGATTTTTAGAGGAATAATGTTGGCCTTCTGATTACGCAACTTTGCCCCCATTTAAGCTACTTCGTATATCTACTGTTTCCGCGATCCCTGTAGTGAAAAGAGAAGTTGTAACAGCCCGTATATATGTATCTTTCCTTTCCTGAATAATTTACATATGGGCGCTTATTCCATTCTCACACCAACAAATAAATAATCTCTCTTTTTAAAAAGCTATATCTTTGTTATTTGCGGTTCAGTTTATGTCTTTATCTACGTGGGAGATATACAAAGAAAATTTAGGAAATGGTGAATTATTATTTTTTTTAAATCTATTCTATACATTTTTTGATCAGAATGTAGTATATACCTTGGGACTGTTTATATAGACCAGGGCGGATCTGTTTTGAGGTGGATGTGAGAGGGGGCAAACAAATTTTTTCTGGATTTCCTTCCCTAGATCAAGGCAAGGTCCGGAACATTTTCAAAATTGCAAAAATGTGTAAAAAAATTTAAAAAATACCTAATTTATCTGAGTCTTTGACTTATATCTTGGAACCTTTGAAGAATATTGAAGAGCAAAAAAGTTTTTGAATTGAATTTTGCACAATATACTGTAACATAAAAATGTTTAAATTTATTACCGATGTTGCAAAATAGTAATAATTGATGAAAAAAAGGCAAATTAATCAAGTTTTTTGGATTTTTGAAAAATATTTTAATTGCTCCGAGGGCATTCTAATTTTGGTAAAAAAAAGCTTAAATTTCATTTCATTTGATTTAGATTTCATTAAAATCGGTTCTATAGTTTTCGCAAAATAATTGTTTGAAAAAAATTTTGAAGAAAAATTTTCGAATTTTCAAAATGTTGCACAGCCTCAAATAAAGCATCTTGGTACTTGAAAACTTTTTCACATAGAGAACCGCTCAACCTTTCAAATGGTTTTTGAAAAATTGAAATCGGTTGATTAGGACGGCCACAGAAAATTTTTAAACTTAACACTCTTTTTTTAATTTTTAATCAATTTGGATTACATTTATCAATGTGCAATTTAGTTTTTTCCAAAAATTATCATTTTAAAGTATTACTTTTTCTTAATTTTTTCTCTATTTAACAAAAAAATTAATTTCCAAAGATTTTTTTTTAATTTGTTTAAACAAAACTTATTTAAATAATTGTAATAATTATAACTAAATATATTCATATTCAGAGTTTTGAAATATATACGTAAACAAATTGTTTTATTGAAAAAATGCAATAGCATAGGGTAAATTATACAGTATAGTTAATGCATAAATAATAAACTTTGTTTATAACAAAATATGTGTAAATTATAACAGTTGGGATTACGATATTCGAATTCCTTGGCTCGCGAGACATCGAATTAAATAAAAAGATAGAAATTGGTACATTAGAAGCCGAAATAATGCAATTTTTTTCGTACCTTCGCATTTTGAACCTCCGAATTCAGTCTCGGAGCGAAAGCCCCCTCCCCCACTTTTCGTGTTTTGAGTCACTTTTCGCGCGTGCGAGCGACAGCTTTCCGCTGATTTATCTTTGTTAGAACTCGGAAAAACGGAGCCACTGGATTAAAGATTATTGCTAAATTGTTTATAAATTAACGGTAAATGCCAATAAACTTTGACCGCTTATATCTCGTGAACCAATAAACGGAATTTAACTTCTTTTTTTTTAAAGAAGCGTCTTTCCGAGTACCTACCTACTTTAAAATTATAATCTTTGAAAAAAACTAAATTGCAAATTGATAAATGTAATCTGATTGTTTAAAAATAAAAAAAGTGTTAACTTTAAAAATGTACTGTGGCCTGTGGCCATCCTAATCAACCGATTTCAATTTTTCAAAAACCCTTTGAAAAATTGAGCGGTCTTTTCAATGCGAAAAAATTTTCAAGTATCTAGATGCTTTATTTGAGGCCGTGCAACAGGTTGAACATTCGAAAATTCTTTTCAAATTATATTTCAAAAAATTATTCTGCGAAAACTATCGAACCGATTTTAATGAAATTTGGTTGTTTTATTATACTCTAAAGTTTTTTTTTACCAAAATTAGAATGCCCTCGAAGTAATTAAAATATTTTTAAAAAATTAGCTTGCCCCCTCTTACATCCAAGAAGTGGAATATTTCGACAGATCCGCCCTGGTCTAATACGGAACACTTCATTTCAAAATACTGAAGTATAAATCGGTATCCCAGTGAGAACAATGGACGATTGTTTTCTTGTTCCGTTTAAATCTCTAAACTTTTTAACGCAGATTATATATACAGGCATTTTGAAAATTCTAAAGACGAAATGATTAAGCTTATACTTAGGAAGGTATTTAGAACAACCGGAGATCTGGAATTCGAGCAGCTTTTTATTATATTTGGAATGCTCTTCATCTCATCAGGTTAAAGTATACAACTAGGTTTGAATTTTACCTAACAAACGCATATCCCTTTTCCTTGAATACCCTTATTTCTTGGATTGTTCCAAAGGGAGCGAATGTTTTCTGCATGAGCTCCTCTGTCAGTCCGTTTGTTATGCCTCCGCAGTACACTGTGCAGTTGGTCGGACTGCTTTGGTTGTAGACCTCGTCGAACGTTAGCGGTTTGGTATTCACTGAAACAAAAGAACTTTTTAAAAAAACACATATTCTCTTGTTACCTCGAATTTTTACTGTATTGCAAACGTACTAAGATAATTCAAACAAATTCAAACATTTTTGTACTATAAAGAATCTTATCGAATGAAGTCAAACAATGTTTTTAGCAGACGGAGGCAACGCAGAGGTTCCACTAGCGAGTCGGCCCCGACAGAGACTAGCCCGAGAACAACAAGGGCAGATCAGAGATACCTAGCTAATATTAAAGAAGTTAAATTTTATTTGCATATTGTAGGCAAGTAAGCTTTATTGAGAAACAGGAAAACTGCATTGCATTTTTGTTAGAAAACAGTGAATAATACTCATATTGTAAATTAATCTAAACATTACTACGTTGTAACTTTTTTCTTAGGATATAAAATGGACTAAATAGTCAAAATATAATGTAAGTAAAACAATAAGTAAAATAAGTATGTATGCAAAATTCAATACGGTGATATTAACGATCTTTTATTTACATAAATTAATTTAAATATTTATATTACTATATTGCGTTACTACGCAACAAAACAATTTAATTATATGGTTGGTTAGCAGATTGCAGAACTACCAAAAAGAAAATATTTAAAAAAATTCAGAATAGTACATTTACACAACGTATTGTGCTTATTCAAATTCATTTACATTTTTTCAGTAGGAATTTTTATCAGTTCGGAATTTCATTTATTGAAAGTTAAATGAAAGTATTTAATTAAAAAACTATCAAATCGATCTTTTTCAGTCCTTGTTTAAACGCTGTATTTTGTCACGGAATAAAAGAATTTGTATACATTCTATTGACTCATCAAATGTGTTGCGAACTTCAACTTGTTTACCTTTCTGGATTAAACGGATTTCAATCAGCAATACTACACACTATAAACACGATAAAAAAATGATAATACTGCAATAATAGCTACAATCAGACTCCATTTGGCAAAACGATAGATCATGAAAAGTTTCCATTCATTGTCAGCGGTTTTTTTATTGTGCTTTCAGCAACCAGTAAAATAATCGTAATCTGAAAATGTAATCTGGAGGAAATAAACATTTTCGGAAGTTCTATAGGACGGTGAAATTAAGTAATTGCAACTAATTTAAAATTTGTTTAAATTTAAATAAAAAAAATGTTGTGTACGAGGTTTGTACAGAAAATAACCGAACTTTTTGAATTACGCCCTAAATTAGGGGAGATTTAGTGATATGCTGTTGGCAGCATTGCGTAAATTGTAGAAGGTTAGCATCTCCATAGATTGGCAAAGAATCTCCACACCCCAAGAAAGCATGTTAATTTCGATCCTATGTCAAAATGCGCACTGTTTTTTTCGACGCTAATGGAATTGTGCATTTTGAATTATTGCCTTAAGGTTGACACAGTGAACCGTTGTACTATCAAGAGATAAGGATCAGTAATGTATAAAATTAATAATAAAGTTAAAAAAATAAAGTTCGGTTTTTATCTGAGCAGACCTCGTATTTTCTTAATAAGCTATAAGAGCATCAAAGTGTAGGGCTGTAAACAAAGTAGGGCCCCCTTAAACTAGCGAATTAAAAGGAATTTAATTGTTGTATGGTTCCTGAGAGGTTTAAGTCTTGCGAGGTTTTTAAGAGCATATCCTTGGTAGTCCGAACCTGCTATAATGGCTTTAAGAGTATATATTAAATATAAAGTTGGTTAAGTACTTAAATGAATTACATTACAAAGCCCTGTACAAAATAATGAATTATTAATCAGAATTTTAATAATAAAGTTATTAAATTCTTAAATGCTTAGTTTTATGTATGAATTTTAACATAAAATTATATTAAAGAAGGATTAAATGATATGGTAAATGGAGATGATACCCACTTATTCATATTACAAAATAAAGTTTTGGCCAAAACAGTTTCCAAGTATTTCTAAGTTTAATTCGGAAGAGGAAGACCTTTAGGGATGACAAATGACGACTTGTAGTATAAAGTAATTCAATTTCCGATGTTAAAATGAATTGCCAGACAAATTCTGACAAGTTCTCTTATTCACCTCAATAAAACCTTGTAAAAATATTGAGGTTATATTTTAAATACTTTTTCATAAATATTAACATGTTTGGAAACAGAAAATTTTAAATTAGACAAATACTTAAATATTCCTCTGAAATTTAATTAAAAAAATTCTTCTCATATCAAACAAAATTCCATGCATCGACAAGCAACCCATTGTTTTTGAGTATTTGGGGGGCATTTGGGTATTGACAGCAAACAGACTTCACATTCGTCTTCAGCGGGTCCGAAAACGTAACAATAATAGTGTCCGATCTAAAGAACATACCACTTCTCTTGTTGTAGGCGTGTGTAATTTTGAATGGGGGTCATATTTATACAGAGGTTACGTTTGACCTTTAGAAACACGCATCAATAGCTTTTTTTTAGTAATTCTCATATCCCGCCACTGAACAAGGTGGTGTGATCTCAAACAATGCCGCACGTTAGTCTCAGCGCACGCGCAATTGGGAACTGGGTCATGCTTTGTGGTCAAATCTCATAGGGTTTAACAGTATCAACTCTTTCTTGATTCGTATACCTGCTTTTTCGTAATAACATACAAAAACTTGAAAATTAAAACACTAAAATATACTTTACCGTTACTAAACACTGAAATAAATCATTTTATTATACACTTACTTCATACAAAGGCACTTTACGAACACGCTCTCGTAAACCGACAAAATCAAAAACGAAAATAAAAATGTAACAAATCCGTTAACCATCCCGTCATATCATACCAGGTGTGAAGACAATTTGCAGTTGCCGCCTCTGAAAGGCGGTATGGCATTTCACCAGCACAGCTGGGGCTAGCCTTCCTTGCCCTTTGTCGCGTTCAGAACGAGATGGGATTCTGCTTAAATTTAAGCTGTGACAGTGACAGTAGCATAGTTCAACTAGACTAGGTCAATGTCAGAGGTCACTGACACAGATTCACAAATTGTAAACACTTGAAACAAAAATAATTATTTTAGAACATAAATTAGTTTTATTTATTTTATTTGTTTATTTAAAATAACTGGCAACGCAGACAGTGCAGGAATACAACTTAATATGCTAACTCCCGACTCACGCGGCCCACTGCCCCAGCAATTTAGATAATCTGAAAGAAATTGCATGAATTGAAATAATGTCCTGTTTGCCAAATATTTTAGGTACACCCTGTAGCAAAAAAATATCGAACAAAATAAATCGCTGAATATTCAAGGCCTAGTCCTTTCAATAATTTTATGTGGGCTGCTAAATTATGTAGAACTATAACAAAAGGCAATTTTAAATGGTAAAAAACGTACGGCACAGCGAAAATTTCGTGCGTAATTGTCCTTTGAAACATTCCGTAAATTGGCATGTGGTAGGTTATAGGCCATTTACATTCCGGCGCAGTTTGAAATAAAACGTGCTGTCAGGTAAGTCTTATTTATAGACACGACACTGGGCAACCGTAACTCGCCTCCAGATTTGGTTATTAGCGCTAAATGGCCTTCCGTGGAAATGCATTTATCTGAATATAGAAATGGAGGAACGGATGGGATCGAAAACTATTTCGACTCAATTGGAAACTAACCTTGGCCACTGGATTTGAGTGCATGTGCAGATGTAATAACAATAAACTGTCCCAAGTCTAGGTGTTTATAACCACCACTGGCAATATTTTCGGTGTAATTCACAAAGAACATTACGACAGACAATTTTAGCAACAGTTACAGGATTTAAAGGCACGGGAACGTGATTTTGAGTGCATTCGAATTCAGAAGTTCGACAGTTTTCGTCTTTAAATGTACAGTAATCGAGCTTTCATAATTTATTAACAATACAGGGTCATTTTTCATTTATTTAAATAATGTTTTTCAAAATTTCAAAATATTTGAGTAATATTATGATCGCGATTATTATTAAACTGATGAAACGAACAAAGGACGAAGCCTATTATGCTCTAAACAAAGATAAAGGTTGATAAAATATAGCTAAATTAAAAATACATGGTTAGAAAACAAACAGTTCATGCAAATATGTGTGTTATACAAATAGAATAAAAGAAAATATGTCATATTTTTTCCTGAACAAACCTATAGGTGTCGTGGTCACAATATCACTGTGCAAGTGATTCCACGACCTAAACGCTCTGTTCGAGAAGAAGTTCTGTCTCTTAAGAGATGTCCATCAAGGTCACAAGAAAGACGAGGATTGTTTTTCTTATGTGGAATATATCATCAAGATCAAATGAGTATAGAAGGAACATCACTGCACCCAAAACGGAACCTTGAGGCACACCCGAGTAGACGCCACGAAGAGAAGAATAATCAGAACCAACACAAACTGAAAAAAACTCAGATCTGATCCAAATAAGGAGTTGGAAACAAATTTCAAGATGATCTTGTTTCAATACTGTATCAAAGCAGTTCGGTAATTTTTTTAAATCAACTCTCGCTTGTAGCGAACTTTTTTTTGTGTCCAAAAGGTTCATGTTGTGGTTTTCTCTTTTTCTTTTTGCCTCTAATCCTTCTTAATCTTTTCAACATCCACCAGTAGGCCTCCATCATATTTACGTCACAGTTATCTTGATAAATTTTTCCATTGCCTTTAAACCTCGATGAACTCGTTCAGGTATCTCTTAGCTGTAGTTGCCTTAGATATGGGGGAAGTAATGCACATAATCCTAGTTCTCTAAAATTCACAATTTCCGGGATTAGAGTATAGCTGCATAACTGAGTTTTGTGATTACCTAAAAAGTTTTTGCCTTGCCGACTTCTGGAAATAGTAATTGTTCTGTTTCTGCTGTTATATAAATACAAAGACACAAGAAGGATACTTAGTAAATCCTGGTTGCTGTTCCAAAGTAATAGTAATGATTTTTGAATCTTCACAAATTAGCCACTTTGCTCTGAATGTTTCATTTTTCCTAAGGCATGCTTCATACTATCACGGTTTTCTTTCAGTTTTGTTGAGTGTACTG